CAGCGATGCTCTATCAAGTCAGTTCTTTCTCTATTGAGCACCATCTTTTAGATAGTTTTGTTTTCCCCGATAGATTTAGACAACAAGCATGGATCCCGTTGAGTACAACGGACGTGAGGGGTGCTCAAACCTTCCGCTTGCGTAATTGACTCCTGAACCCAAGATTTGGTTGCGATGACCTGTCTTTTCCATTTTTCGTAGGTTTTCTCTGATCGTTTCCTTTCCCTCTCTTTTGGGATAAATAACGAACGGTGGCGACTCTTCTATCTTTGTCGGCCCCTCTTCGCAGCGATGCGACAACGCCTTGCGCCCGAATCCATCACCTTCTAGGGCGAACTGAAGAGGTAGTTCTCTAGGCACTTCATGGTCTCCCGGCGCCATCCAAAGACAGAGGCAGCACTGGAAGTCATTATCCAGGGGAAGAACGAACCTCTTTGAGACTACATAGAGAGGTTCAACCGAGAGGTAGTCCAAGTGTCCACCACGGACGACATGAAGAAATTTCTGATCTAGAAGGGCATAAGACCTCACTCCGACTTCGCCAAGGCCGTTGGGATTGAACGTCCCCGCAACTTGAATGCCTTTCTTCACGAAGTCCAATCATACATCGAGTATGAGGAGATAGAGGCTGCGAACACCGCCCGAGACACGCGGAACCAGGAGGGCTTCAGAGGCGCTAGACATGACGAAGTCACTCCTCCTCGACGAAGTAGGGAAAGAAGAAGCGAAGACCAACCCCGCGAGAAAAGGGGATCCGCGGGTCGGTTCACTGAGTACACGTTGCTCACAGCTCCCCGCGAGTGCATCCTGTTCAAATGCATCAATTCAAAAATTTAGAGGGGCGGTGTCCGTTTCCCGAAACCGACGCCCCCGAAGCCCAACGTGGAACAATCTAAATACTACTGGTTCCACAAAAGTCATGGACACGTCACGGAGGATTGCGTCCACTTTAAGGATGCGATCGACATCTTAATTAAGGAAGGGCACTTGAAACGGTACACCCGAAGAGGTGAAACTACCTGACCTGAGGCCCGCGAAGCCAAGAGGGTCGAGGAAGTGTCACCCCCTCCGACGAAGCGGGACTACAAGTCACCCTGTGTGTCTCTCGACCAGAGGATTTACTCCTTTTTAGCAAGCCCGCCAGACCATTGTCTTCCCGCAGTCAGTGGGAGGATTTCCCAGCCACCTTGGTCATATCCGGCGGAGGGCCCAACAAGTTATTGGTCGGGTCAGTCAAGAGGAAGTTTGAGGAACTCATCAACAAGAGCTAGAAGATGAACGCTACCCTTGAAAGGTTCAAAGGTCAATCAAACCCGGTTACATTTTACCTCAAGGAGCTTCCCGAGGGTGCATCCAACTCCAGCATTCCCCTCCTGATCAGGGCTCAGATTGCAAACTTCAACGTGCGCCGAATCCTAGTCGACTAAGGGAGTTCGGTGGATATAATGTACGCCCATCTATTTATGACCCTTCAGCTCGACAAGAGCCACTTGACCCCGTATGTCGACTCTGACCTCCAGGGATTCAACGATACCACCACCAAGCCTTGGGGATATGTGGAACTGCTTGCCACATTCGGGGCCGAGGAGATGGCCAGACAGGTGAAGATCCGCTTTCTGGTAATTGAATACCTTTCCTTGTACTAGTGCATCCTAGGAATGCTGATCTTAGATGAGCTAACTGCGGTACCATCTACAGTCCACCTGAAGATGAAGTACTACACGACCAGAGGTCAGGTCATCACCCTCCACGGAGACATTGATGCGGCCAGAAGATACTTTGAGGCGGCACTCAAAGGACTCAACTCGATCAACGTCCTCGTAAATTCGACCGATAGACCAGCCCGAACTGAGGAACCGAAGCCACTTCCTCACGTCAACTTCGTCGACCTCGATAGTCGCTTCCCCAACAAGCAGGTACAAAGCGTGGAATCCGCAGACACGCCTCCAACAGACACGGGAATCCGTCCCACCCAACGCGCCCCATTCCAAATGGAGACTTCAAGCTTGTCATGCTTGGAGACGACCCAGGAAGAAGCGTGAAAATTGGCACGGGACTCCCCGACCTGGCGAGGAAACAGCTCAAAGCCTGCCTATGGAAGAATACCGACCTGTTTGCGTGGAGCACTATGGAGATGCCCGGCCTCGACCTTGACGTAGCATGCCACTACCTCACCATAGATCCAGCCGCTAGGGTCATAGTTCAACATAGGCATAGGCAGTCCCCCGAGAAAGCGGAGGTAGTTAAAAAAGTTGCAAAATACCTGTTAGAGGCAAACTTTATATCGAAAGCCCAATACACAACTTGGATGTCTAATGTTGTACTAGTTAAGAAACATAATGGAAAATGGAGAATGTGTGTTGACTATACTGATCTCAACCAGGCATGTCCCAAAGATTCTTACCCGTTACTTAACATCGAAAAACTCGTCGACAATTATATAGGTTTTAAACTGTTTTCATTCATGGACGCGTACTTGGGATACAATCAAATCCCCATGGCTAAGGCCGACAAGCAATACACGACCTTCGTGACCGAGTCGGGAAACTATTACTACAATGTAATCCCCTTCGGGTTGAAGAACATCAGTGTGACCTATCAGCGGATGATGAACAAGGTATTCTGGGGAGAAATTGGGGACATGCTCGAAGTGTACATGGACGAAATGATCGTAAAATCACGAGAAGAGGTCAACCACACCATACACCTCAACAAGGTCTTCGCAACAACGAGGAAGTGCAGGATGAGGTTCAACCCTAAGAAGTGCATCTTCGGTGTACAGGCAAGCAAATTCCTCGAATTCTACCTGACAAAACGAGGAATAGAAGAGAATTTGGACAAGTTCGGGGCTTTCTCCGAGTTCCCCATGCCAAGCACAAAGAAGTCCATCCAATCACTAAATGGGATGCTCGCATCTTTGTCACGATTCGTCGCCAAGTCTTCTCAGCACACCCTCCCCTTCTATAAGCTTATATGCAAGGAGGCCGCATTTAAATGGACCGAGGAGTGCGAAGAGGCCCTCCTCCACCTCAAGCAAGTCCTCTCAGAGCCACCAGTGTTGTTAAGGCCCGAGGTCGGGGAAACCCTATACTTGTATCTCGTTGTCGCCACGGAGGCCGTCAGCGTAGCGCAAATCCGCGAAACTTCCGAAGGGAAAAAGCCGATATACTTCATGAGCAAATTCCTCCAAGGTCTCGAGCTTATATACTAGCAGATCGAGAAGGTCTCTTTGGCCCTCATCGACACGGCCAGGTGGTTACGACATTACTTCTTGACCCATACGATCTAGTCAGAATCGACCAGCCTGTCAAACAGCTACTCGGGCGGTCGAACATGTTGGGAAGAATGCTCAAATGGCCGCTCGAACTCTCCGAATTCGACTTCCAATACGAGAGCAGAAAAGCCCTCAAGGTACAAGTCCTGGCCAACTTCATCGCGGAGATCGCTTCCACAGAGTCCCCGACCCCCAGGACGCACAAATGGACCATCTTCGTCAATGGCGCCCCTAGCACTCAAATACCCCTACTCCTATCCTCCATTGCTAAGCAATGATTTCCTGACACATGGCAACACCAGAAGCTTCGCACCCCATTCGCCTCCCTCTCGGGCTCAGAGATCGAACACATTTGCTCGCTGTCTACCTCTCCGATATGTTGTCCCGTTGAGCATCTTCCGCTCCCGACCTGGTACATGACTCTCAATTCTATGCGGCGGACAAAATACCATCTCCCAAAGAGGTCCTTGACATTTTGACATGCCCTTAATTACTCCTCCAGTTAGGAGCAACAACTTGGGGGGGCTCCTATTCTGGGCTGGGCAGAGACATGCCCCTGAGCCGGGCAGGCCCAACCCAATACTGTGCTGATTAGGCCCAACAAGGCCCAATCCTCTCTGTCGGGCACAAGCCTCAACAAGGCACACTAGTCGGGCAGAGCATTATCCTGAACGAGGAGATCTCACGCGCTTTCCCCACGGACTCCACGTGTCCCCCACGTGGGGACACATCATCAGACAACTACCCACTTTCGAAAGAGATGGTCAGCCCACCTTCCGAAGATCATGGGGCAGTTGATCCAGGGCGAAGACCACGTGCTGGTCTTCATTACACCACGTAAGCCCTGTCATTTACTTGTGTTAGGCTTGACAATTCGGTCCAATGCAATGTAACCGTTGACCCTGCGTTAAGGGCACATTATAAATACCCTCTTTCACTAGAGGGTCAGGTATCTTATTCACTACAACACCGGTGAATGCAGCAGGTCACGACGCATGACAGACTACTGATTTCTTTCTTATCAGGTGGGATCAGTTACCTTTAATGCAAGAATTGTGGAAACAACAATAATAATAAAAGGTGTAACAGAATCATTTATCGAACATCTAATTATTTAAAAAGTCTACGTACGTGTTGATATAGATTTTTTATAAGAAAATTCTTAGAAAACAAAGGGTGGGGAGATTAAAGTTTAAAATAAAATAAAAAAGTTACAAAAATAAAAACAAAACCCAATGTGAAAATTGTGACGATCATGAATTAAATATAAAATCAAAGGAAGCAAACTCGAAGGTACTTTTTTTATACAAATCATTCCCATCCACGGAGTAGTTGCTTTTTCCAAATTCATGACCACAACAAAATGCATCAAAGTCAAAGAGAAGGGTATCCCTGTCATTTTCTCCTAATCCATCATCTTAGACTTAATACTCGTTTTCCAAATATTTTAACATATTCAAATCTTAGTCTTTTCATCCTTTGCAAACAACAACCACTCCTCTATATTATATATATAAAAAAGAAGAATAATTCCATTTTATATAGAACCTATAGACAACTAATAATCAAAGAAAAAAACACAAGAAAATTTCAACACAAATCTAGATAAAAAGAAGCTACAATTTCACCATACTCACATAATATATATAAACATTCTCTTATCTCTTCTATAACCACATTCATCTTTTGCATCAAAATTCATATAATCAATCACAATATCATATTTATGACTGTGATGAAAATTATGTGGAAAACAATATTTCCAAGCTGTTACAAGGCTGAAGATACTGAATACTCTTCCGCCAAAGAAACAACAAAAGTGGTTGCTACAAAGACAAATTCTTTCAACAGAATCTCTCTCACGGATCTGAGTTTTCCAAGTGCTACAACACTTTCAGAAGATCTTTCAATTTCTTTAGCTGGTTCTAATCTCTATGTTTTCACACTTGCTGAGCTCAAGATTATTACTCAGGGTTTCTCTTCAACGAATTTTCTTGGTGAAGGAGGGTTTGGTCCTGTTCATAAAGGTTTCATTGATGATAAGGTTAGGCATGGACTTGAACCTCAACCTGTGGCTGTTAAGCTCCTAGATTTGGATGGCTCTCAGGGTCATAAAGAATGGCTGGTGAGTTTTTATTTAAGATTATCTGTGTCCATTAGTGTCATGTTTGATGTATATGTCTGTGTGTGTGTTCTGATGATTTTTTGTTTTGCTGTGACATAGACTGAGGTTGTGTTTCTTGGTCAATTGAGACATGAACACCTTGTTAAGCTGATTGGATATTGTTGTGAAGAAGAACATAGGCTTTTGGTTTATGAGTATTTACCTAGAGGAAGTTTGGAAAATCAACTATTTAGAAGTAAGAGAATTTCCATTAATAGTTATGAATTATTCTTTCAATTTGCATAAGTTTGAAGGATCTCTAACCTTTCTTTGGTGGGAATATTGCAGGATATTCAGCATCATTACCATGGTCAACAAGAATGAAAATTGCTGTTGGAGCTGCAAAAGGTCTAGCCTTTTTACATGATGCAAAGAAACCAGTCATCTATAGAGATTTCAAAGCCTCAAACATCTTATTAGACTCAGTGAGTACTAAGTACCACTAATTTTTTCATCAATGATTTGAAGTTAATTCTGGATCTAACTTATTATTGTTTATTCTTAATCTTGCAGGACTATAATGCAAAACTCTCTGATTTTGGCTTGGCTAAAGATGGTCCTGAAGGTGATGACACACATGTGTCAACTAGAGTTATGGGTACTCAAGGTTACGCCGCACCCGAATATATCATGACAGGTAAACTAATTTACCAATTCTAATATGTTAATGTCATTATTGTGTCAGATGGTCAAACAAATTATTTCTTGTAATTGGTGTTTATACTTGTGTATCAGTGTCGTGTCGTGTCTGATGTTCATGTCTGATACATGTCATATATCACTGCCATTATCAGTGTCGTGTCTGGTGCTCATGCCACTCTTCATGTCCGGCACTTGTCATTGTCATATCATGTGGTGTTAATATCTTGTTAGTTGTTTCTTGTTTTGTAGTCAACAATTGATATCTTAACCTGAATTCAATTTCATCATATAGGACATTTGACAGCAATGAGTGATGTGTATAGTTTTGGAGTTGTCCTATTGGAGCTACTAACAGGAAGAAGATCCGTGGACAAGGCACGTCCACCACGAGAACACAATCTAGTGGAATGGGCGAGACCAGTTTTAAACGACGCTCGAAAACTCACCAGAATAATGGATCCAAGGCTTGAAGGACAGTACTCAGAAATGGGAGCAAGAAAAGCAGCTGCATTAGCTTATCAATGTCTTAGCCATAGACCAAGAAACCGGCCTACAATGTCTACCGTAGTGAACACTCTTGAACCTCTTCAAGATTTCGACGATGTACCAATAGGTCCATTTGTTTACACAGCTCCGAGTGATGTTAGTAACAATGAAGTGAAGAACGAGAATAACAACATGGATACACCAAAAGAGAGAAAAAGAGAAAGTACTCATCATCATCATCAACGTAGAAATCAACATGAGAAAGATAGTGAAGAATATTATGAAAATCCGAAAGAGAAAAGAAGGGAAAGTAGTGAGAATCATAGAAGACATCATCATCATCATCGTCAGAATGGACATAGGCATCCATTAAAGTCACCAAAAGAACAAAGACATGTACACCAAAGTGGGTCACACTCACCGGATACATCCATTACATCAGAAAGCCAAGGAAATTAAGGAACTATAGTTTAGAAGACACGTACCTAGATCAAACACTGCTAAATGTATATATATTGTGTCAATGTCAATGAGCTGGTTTCAAACAAATAAAAGTTGAAAACAAAGAAAAAGGGAGAGGAAAGTGATAATGCAATTATGCAAATGGTCCTAGTGTAGAAAGCATGCTTGAGTTTTTTTTTTATAAATATTATTTTTGTATTTCTTGAGGAAGTTGATTATTTTGAATTGTGTATACAATATTAATTTTGTTCCCTTATTGGTTAGTTACTTTAGATATGTTTTTATTCATGGAAATATATTGCTTTTCTCTTTTAGCTTTTGTAAAAAAAATTGTTTGTTTTAAGAATGAGATTTTTCAATGCAAGCTATATGTTTTTTTTAGATATCACCTGAAAATATTAAAATGTCTTCTGTTATTGAAGATGTATTTTTGAATGTATCATAATACACATATTTTATTTGTTTTTAAATTATACTTTAATTTTATAAATAAATTTATTTCGAAAATACATTTTCAAAAAAATTTCAAAAATATAATTTTAAATAAAAAAACAAAAGTCTATAATGTAGCATAACCATGGAGTTTTAAAAATATTTGACTTCAATTATATGTCTAAAAAGTATAGTAGTTTAAAAATGTGACCAACTTTACTAATTTTCCTACTAACTACTTTACTCTTTTAAAGAGTTTTATGATCTTCAGGTATTTTATCAACCACTGATAGTTGTCTTCATCGACTCCATTATAGCATGCTTCAATGTCATCAATCTGCACTTATCTTTATAGCATGCTTGAATGCCATTAATCTGCACCTACGTTTATATCATGCTTCAATGTCATGAATTTGCACTTACATAATTTCATATAGACTTCCGCTACCATATTTGAAATATAATGTCCATTTTTTCTCATTTTTATTTGGTTCAGCGCGTTATGCCATCTTATAGGTTTATGTTTTTTTTAGTAAGTTTTAAAAATACATTTTGAATAAATTTATTTATAAAATTAGAGTGTAAATAAAAAACGAATGAATGTATGTATTGCGTGCCTTTGTAGACACGTCTCTAAAGTTCGGAAGCATTTCAGTATTTTTGTATGGTGTCTAAGAAATATATAGGGTTATTAAAAAATCCTCTTAAAAATTGAATAGTTGTATTGGCCAAACGGGTTGTGTCCCGTCAGATTGACTCGCGTATCTGTAAAAGAATGACGGGTTGGGTTGGAATTTTGTATCCGCCTATTTATTCGGCTCATCCCACCTTTAACCCGCCCCGTCTTAAGCCCGTCAAAAAGGGTCAAGTTGGCACGGTAACCTAATTATCAAGCATTCAAAATATTTATTTTGTCTAGTTAAAAATTAATATTTAAATTATAGTTTTAGAACTATAATTATTAATACTTCTATTTTAGGTGAAATTTATTGATCATTTTAAACTTTTAATTGTCATTTTATGTTTTCTAATTGTTGGTTTGATGTTTTTTAATTGAAATGTAAATAAAAAAATATTTTAATTTATTAAAAAATTCAAGAAAAAAAATGACAAAAAAAAATAGTCGATCAAATCTACCGCTTGTCAACCTATCACCTTAATGAAGTAGAATATTTTTTTAAATCTAATTTTAGTTTGTGACATGTCTGCCGCGTTTTTCTTTTACGAACTTAAAAGAGAGTAAAAGAACACATTTGATCACTTTTAATATTGATAATAAAGAATAGTTTTATATTCATGTTCAATAGAAATTCATCAAGTATGTAGTAATAATAATTTAAAAATTCCAGTTTAATAATTTTCCCTATTTTATGTAGTTTTAAATATTGGCAAATATACCATTTATTGCTTTTGATTCTTGATATATTATGTTAGCCTCAGTTAGATTTGGTGTAATCTTCTATGACTATAAACAATAGAGAACTATTATGGGTAACATTTAAAAATTTCTACACAGTTTTTCACGTCATTGTTTAAGACGCAAATGCATAATGGAATGAAAAATGGTTCTTTAGTTTATCCACATTCACAAAGATGTTTCTTTCATTTATTTTTTAATTTTATTTTATCAAAATATGCCAAAATTAATTATATACTCATTTATATAAATGTGGGGAATTGTGAGGTCGGGTAGAATTCATTTAAAATTTTGAAAGTATTATATAGATATTTAAAATTTTGTAGTTGAATTGATGAAATAATTTTAAAATTTAAATAAATTATAAATATTTTTAATAATATATTAAAAATTGAAATACATCAATTATTTTAAGAATAACTTTTCCCAGTAATTGTTTTTGAGACATAGAGGTTATTACTTTGTTGATGATACTGTTAAGAAAAGTAAATAATGAATCTAATGTGTTTATTTTGTTTACCCGTGAAAAAATTTGAGTATCCAAACTCATAAAACAAAATTAATACAAAAATTTAAGATAAACTCAAATGATTAGTTAGAGTAGTTGATTTTTTGTTGACAAATAAAAGCTAGATAAGTTGTCGCCTACACTTAAACCTTAATTAATTAATAAATCATAAGACTAGATAAAAATAAATGGACACTTACCAACCACAATTTGTTGAAGGAATTTTTGGTGCCATACTATTCTTCAACAAAAGCGAGTACAGCTAAGTGGGTTGACCAAACAACGTGTAAATAAGTAAATATTTTAAATATATATTCAAACAAATGCCAATTCTTAATATTAGGTATGAATGCAAGACAACAAAAAGTAGCCACCATCATAAATTATTATAAATTAATTGAAGATCTAGTTTAATAATATGTATTATAGTTCAAATATATCTTTAATTTATATTTAAATATATTTTTTTTGTTTTCTTGATATATATTATTGTAGTAGTTTTTTTACATAGAAAATATTGTGGTAATTTACAGTCGAAAAAAATTATAAGCCAAAAGTTTATTTGATTGCGACCAAAATATTTAAGTACCGTTATTTCTATTTATGACAATTATTATAGTAGTACTGGTACTGGAATATAAAAATAAATATTTAATGTTTGACCAAACGTTAATATATAATCAATGCATGTCGCTTTTTGCCTGAATGAAACTGCAATATTAACGTATCAACTAATTAATATAAAAATATCATTAATAATTTGGATATCTTTGCATCTAACGTTGACGACGCGCTCGATATTATTTCAGCAATGAATAAAATAATCACGTTATTAATTAATTAATTAGCAAGGTTTTGATCTTAAAAGATTTTTTTTTAACGGTGAGAGTTAAAGGCCCTAAAAGAAAAATATATCTTCTCAGAGGTAGAACTCCTAACTTATCCTCAACAAACAAATGCTCAATAAAACTAGAGCAGAGGAGAAACAAGACAAATTGGAACTCAGACTAAACCCTAGCTTTAACCAACGCATCGGTAGATTGGTTCGCTTCTCTAAACGTATGCGAAACAAAAGCCTCATCAAATCTATTTAAGAGCATCTCAAGCCTATCATTACGACTAGATCTACCTTGCTTTAATTCCATAGCAATCTTAGAGGAATCTGTATTTACTTCGACTCTCCTGAATCCTAAGTCTAAAGTAAACATCAATCTTTCAAAAATGCCCCAGAATTCAGCCATATAATTGCTACAAATCCTCACGTTCTTGGAGAAACCATCCAGCCAACAACCTTCCTCATCTCTAACCCGACCTCCACAGCCTGCTGAAACACACTCAATGCATACCTCGTCCATGTTAAGTTTCACAATACCTGACTTGGGAGGCTCCCACTTAACAATTCTAGTCTCCTTCATTTTACCCATAGCCTTATTGTTGATCTTCAAAGCTTCTTCATATCCTTTTAACCGCTTAAACACATGCAAACTAGGGTTATAAGGCCTAAAAAAATCCTCCACATGCTCCTCTTTATTAAGCCAATACCAAATAGAATGACAAGTCATTGCCCAAAACCTCCAAATCCAGATTAAAAAACTTATGATAAATACCCAAACGAACTTTTTGCACCCAAACCTCCTTAGCTCTAATACAATTACGTAAAGTATGGATAATATCTTCCATTGCATGGCCACAAAGGTTGCAAGCTACAACACTTAACCCTCTTGAGTTCTTGTTCAAGTTTGTCAACACTCTGTCATGCTTCAAGATCCAAACAAAGATCTTAACTCTCTCTGGCACTTTCAACTTCCAAATATTCTTTCAATTACGATCATAACTAAAACTATTATGGTTTGTCAAAAGGTCATAGAACAGCTTCACGGAACCATCGGCAAAAGATACACATTCCATCGATAACTTGTCCTCCACTGCCTCTGCGCTAATATCTGGCGGTTGAGTACTACTGATTTTCCTCAAAATATCACTCGTCAACCAAGGAGTAAAGGTTGACCAGTCCCAGTTGTAATACCCTACTCTACCCACTCGTATAATAATTGAAAAAAATACGAAAATAATGCGGAATCAAATCAGAGTTAATACACGTAAGATGTCACATTACAAAAATAACATCAAAGTGAAGTATCAATTCACTTCACATTTTATTCATTCCATAAAAATAAGTAATTTGGTTTAAACGGCGAAATTAAATCAAACGGTTTAACATGTAAACTCCAATTACATCAACTTTCCACATAATACGTGGTTCAACAGCAACTTAAATTCAACCAGATACGTAACAAATAAAATGAAAACATAATGAAATCCCCACCCTTCCTGTGTTACGTATCAGAGCGACTCTTAAGACTCGATCAAATAGCAATACAATGCTCCAAGCACTACTCAGGTACCTGATCATCTGTACTCCCTAAGGAGCACAGACACAACAAACAGAAAAAGGGGTGAGAACTACATTCAATAAATACACGGTGAAAAACACATGCTAAGAGTAGCTAACACACCAATCACACAATTATCACGCACATACAAGTGCCACATCATCATTCGGCATAAACAGCCCATATTCAATCATATATAAGTATGCAATGTGACTCACTGACAGGACATAATGCATGTGGTACCATC